ATTGCTTTGTGGAACCGACTCTCAAGAGGATGCTTTGTCAATCACTACAAGCTTAATCTGTTCAAGTCTAAGGTTAACTGTTATCATCCCATATATCCTCATGAACAGTGCCTCTTACTCTGTAACCCTCTACCTCAAGTGACACTTAGGCCTTGCATAGGGTGAACATTATTGTTAAAAAAAATAGAGGTACTTTATAGAGTTAAAAATTGATCAGTACAAAAATATAAACTCTTATGAAGAAAATTTTTTTAATAGTGAAAATTAAGTAGGATATAATCTAAATGTATACAAATTTGCTGATTTTATAATGAAAAAGATACACTTGATTTGAGAATAATTTCAATAAAATGTTAAGTCAACCTCAATTTTGTTTTGTCAAACCATGATAACCTAAAAGTAAACTTCTTTTAATCTTGGCATAATTATCTCCCTTCCAACACATTTCTCAATAAATCTCTGAATAAAATTAATAAATTTTTAAAAATTATTTTTTAAAATATTTGAAATAATGATAAAAGATAATTTTTTTAAGTTATTTTCTTAAATATTTATGAACTTCAACTATTGCATTTGTAGGAAAATGAAATAAAACACTAATAATGAATAATAAAAAACAAAAATGAACACATTTTCCCATAATGCTAAGCATATAGAAACTGGAAATATGATTACCCCACCTGGCTTTGAAAAACACTGTTAGGTCTCGCTTATGAAACCTATAAAAAGGCAAATATTTCCTGTCTCAATCTCTTTCTCTCTTTTGCTCCATGATGTGAACCACATGGTAATTTTGTTCCTAGTGAGACATGTTAGTTTCTATGGTCCACTGACTTCTTTCCAATGACATCATTCAGACATGTTAACTCCCAAACAGTTTCATAAATGTATTTGAGAAGATTTTTTTTATGAAAGTTTAAAAGAAATAAGACAAAATTAAATTATTTAAAAAACAGTAAAATAATAAAATCCTGATGCAAAAATATAGATTCTGGTCAGCTGAATATAAAATGCTAGATTTTGATTATATCATAGTTATTTAAAGCATGAGGGAGTGAACTCCTCTGAGCAATGGCCATCCACACCAACTATGGTTTAAATAGCCTTACCAACCTGCAAGACATGGCCAATCAGAGAGGGGTTCCTCCAAAATGATTGAGCAGGCCTTAGATTTGGACTTAAAGCAACAAAAAACACAAAGTTGCTGAAAGCTTTGACTGGTATTTTGGTATCACAAATTTGTAATTTGCATGTTGGGCTGCTGTTCCTTTTTCTGATAACCCTGCATTCTCTCTTTTTGTAATTAATGTTTAGACATTTCTCCTTGTTTTCATTCACTACCTTCTGTAAGAGTTCTTGTAACTTCCTTTCTATGCCTGGAATGAACACTGTGTCATCTGCATATCTTATGTGATTAAGACCAACATTGTATCCTGGTAGGACTTCTACTTCTCTCAGAATCACCTCACTATATAGGTTGAATATGTCTGATGAGAAGACACATTCTTGTCTTACACCCCTTTCTATTTTTGTATATTTATTGAATTCATTTCTATCTGTATGCAGTTGGTTTGCTGCCAACATAAGTTCTGGATAATTCTAATGTCCTTCCCAAATATGTCAAGGTTACATAGCAGCTCCAACAGTTCTTACTTAATTTTTAAAATAAAAAAAAACTAACAACATGATCAATAAATGATGATATTTACTATAATGAATATACTCTCAGAGACAGAGTAAATGTAATATTAAAGGAACTAAAAATATTTTCTCTTTACAGAGCTTTACTCCAAATTTTATTTCATGTACATATACTTTTGGGGAAAAAATGATGTTAAAGTTGAAATAGTTTTTCTGTAATATGTTTCATCCTTTAGGACTTCAGACTAAAGCAATGTTTACATTGATATGACTACACATGCACACAAAGGTAAGGGGTCACTGGGAGTTTTATAAATGTAAAAATTTGATGAACTTTTATTTTAGAAAATGAAGAAATACACTGTATCAACAGCAAAAAGATATGTGGGTTTTACATAAATGGTACCATAGTTGAGAGTCACTCAGTTATGTGTCATCCATGATACACATCTAGGTGATCATGTATCTTTTGATACATGACTGACAAGGCAGATTTTTTCCCGTAGTAGATTGCCATTTCCTTCTGCAGTAGACCAGTTGCCATCCAAGGCTACAGAACCCAGTCTGTCCTGCTATTTACCCATGCTGAGGGGAGAAGAGGATGATTTATGTCTTTCCCAAGGGTATTAGCATGTAAGTGAATGTAATGGATTTGAATGGTATTCAAACTCAGGTCTCCGATTCCTCAATCCAAACCAGTATCCTTAACTCCGCCATGCCTCCTGTGTTGAGAGTATTGTTTAGAATTCTTTTTTTCAGAAGTGCAGATTTTGATTTGAAAGATTAACATTCCAGCAACCCTTCATTCATTGATGGTGACCATATCAAAATGCTAATTAAAAATAACCCAGATCACATGACATGAAATATTGCAGAAATAACTGTACATATTTCATATGAGCATTGTAAGTCAATTGAAAACTTGGGATTGTGAAAATGTTTGGTTCCCTCATGATTTAATGGAAAAGATTTCATTTCCATCTGCAATTCTATGTTCAAACACAACAAAAATAACCCATGTTTTTAAAAGAATGATCACAGTTAATGAACAATGGATTGTTTACAACACTAAGAAAATATAAAGGGTGCTGGAGAAAATGAGAAACCAGTCTGCATCCATCAAAGATGATGCTGTGTATCTGCATGTATTAGAAGGGCATTGTGTATTATGAAACTGATTAGAGAACTGGAAAGGATTTTTATAAAAATAGACATAATATGTATACATATATATATATATATATATATATATAACAGACCCATGGCTGAGTGGTTAGAGCATTAGCATTCTATTAGACCCATCTTTAAATCTCATTCTAGTCAATTTGTCAGAGAGGTGACTTCTTTATTTTCCTCAGTCATGAGGTAGGGAGATGATCCTAGCGTGAGGCACTAATTGCCTGAATATCATACCATGTGTTTGGTCCAAGTTTTGAGTAAATAAAAGAAAAAACTGTTCAGAATTGAATTTAGATTTTTGGTATATTTAACAAGTTTGCTGCTTTCAAATTATCTTTTTCTTTTTTTTTTTTTTGTTTACAAGTAAGCAAATTTAAAGTATCACTTTTCACAAATATCTCTAGTTCTATGATGTACAAAAATATTATAATCTTATCAAATCTTTCTTCTTGCTAATGGCACTACTGATTTTGATGATGAAATTTACTTTTATACAAGTTTGGGTTTTTCCCTAAGGTGTCAGTTTTCTGCCAAAGCTTTATTTATACTGACAGTGTAAGAATTATTTATATAACGTTTGCATTGTATTCAGTATTATGAGTTATTTAAATGATTTTAAGTGCACAAGAGGATATGTGTAGGTTATATGTATAACAAATGCTACACCATTAAGAGACTTGAATACCTTAAGATTGTTGTATTCTCAGAAGTGCTGAAACCACCCACAGATGTCAAGGGATGACATGTGTACATAACCTTTGCCTAACCTACCAATAAAATATTATAACTACCCCAACTTTAACATTCATCATCAGTACAATTATCTAATCACAGATATTTTATAAACAAAAAATGGTTTCAACTGAATAAAATTGATAGTTATGGAAACTGGATAAAAATTTAAGAGTTTATTCATTCTAAGATAGATTTCTAAATATATATTTAATATTTATAATTTTACTTGTAAGCATTTTTTTTATAATTATAATTTTACTTGTGAAATTTTTACCCTATATTCAATCTGCAAAATAAAATAAAAAACTTTATATCAAATTAAAGCCGTTTCTTGGAAATTCATCTGATATTTGTAAATCAATAACATCTTCACACGATCAAAGTTTAACAACAAATGCATTTATTATAGTTCATTTCAATAAACTCCTACCAAAATTCCCAATTCTCACTTGTTTTTGCAATTTTTAACTCTGATTCCAAGCACTGACTTGACTGTTTATGGAGGCTGGAATTTACAAGCTGATGTCTAAGAGGACATTATAACAAAATTTAAAAAATGTCTATTATTCCAAGATTACTTTAAAGAATTTAATTCATGCTGTGACATTACCACAATATTTTATCTAGTACATTTTACAGTTTTTGGGTTTGTTTTTTTTTAAGTATGTAATTTAAAATTAAATTTAAAATTAAATAGGATACAGAACAAGATAGTAATCAGAAAATGGTTACAACACAGGTGTCCTTGAATGGTATTGTCTGTGTGGTTCACATAAGCTAGAAATGAACCAGTTCTTTTTTTTTTTTTTAATTATATTACTCTTTAAAATGACATCCTCTTTTTCCTTCTGGATTATACACCAGAAGAAAGCTATAAAAAGATTAGTAGAAATTTGTTTTTAAATTTAAATTAACTTAGCAGTTAGAATCCACTCAGAATATAACTGGTTTGAATAATTAAACCATGCAGAATATATAATAGATCACTGGACTAATTACTCAGCTGCACATGTCTATACACTTTCCTAATATATTGAAAACTGGTTTTAGATAAATAAAATTAAAAAAAAAAAAAAAAAAAAATCTCTGCTCCTTTTCATATTATCAAATTCCATGATATCCAGATATTTATTCCTTAAATTACAGGAATTGTGGCAAATTCCATGATATCCATGTGCTTTTTCTTAGTTTTTATATGAGCATTTTACATTGTGAATTACTGAACAGTGAAGCAAGGTTGCAAGATTGGTCTATGAAATAGTGAACTGGAATATTTTTAAAATAATATAGGCTAATTCAAGCTACTAACAAAAATTAGTAGCCCTGGGATTTTAAATGTAGCTCAATTTGTATCTGGAAACCCTGATCAAATCAATTAACATTATGTTCAACACCCTTCCTCTAAATAACATTTTTGAGCACAAAACAACAAATAAATTACTCACTGTGTAGCCATTATAGTGTTCATTTTTGGTAAGCACAGCTTTCTCCTCTCCGTAAGTGAAGCATGAAGTTAGGTTGTAGACACCATAAAGCCTCAAAAGAAACCCAACTGCTGCAGCCATGATGCAGATGATGAAGATAACCAACAGGGCAACTCCCCACTCACTCATTTTGAATGTCAATTAAGAATGATACAATGATTTACAGCAACAATGACACCTATAAGGTTGGTGGGTTGAGATGCGAGATAAAAATGGACGGATGGTCAAGTCAGTCAATGAGGCACCATTGAACAATGAGGATGTTTGGCAGGTCAGGCAAACGGTATCTATAAAATATAAATGTAAATATATAAAATTTTAAAAAGAAAATAATCATAGGTTGTATATTTTACATATATATCAGTTAATAAGCCCATACAATACTTGTACAGTGGATTCTGGTTAAATGGAACAGTGATTACAAGGAATAAAAGATATAGTAGAAACAATTGTGTAAGGACAGAATCAAATGTATGCAGTATTGTCTTTTTTATAAAAAATCTGTTTCAGAATGACTGCTAATAGGGACCTAAATTCATGGTTTCAATGTGTTATTATATATGGTTTTTGATCAAGTGTAACATTACCCTGAAACATCTACACAAAAGAACACTTTTTACATTAATATCAATTGTTTTATACTCATCACATATTGGGTATATTTATTAGCAAGGTCAGAACAAGGAAAAATAACTTACAAAAAGACTCAAGAAAAATTAATAAATAATCAGCAAGAAAAGTGGATTGACCAGCAAGAAGATATTTGAAGCTGGTGTTGTGGATGTAGTCAGAGAGAAAAGATGAAGATCATATGTATATAAGTCCATAGCTTAATGATTAAAAAAAAACAAATAACATTCATTTTTACATAAATAATTTTCCACATAATTCAATGAAGAATATTAATCCTATAGACAGCTGGATGATGACATTCTGGGGCCCCTAGGTTAATGAAATTATGGGGCTACACATCAGTCAGTCACCTAACTCACCTGCACCTATCTTGAATATTTTTTACTCATTATACATTTTAGTGGGACTTACATAGCTATTCTTGTTTAAAGAATTTGCAGTAAGTTTACTTCAAGCTATCTTTTGTTTGTCAATAAAAATATTTCTTTAAGAAAACACATCTTGCTATTTAATTACAGCCCCAATTAGCACATATTTCAACACAACTGTAGTAGAAAATATACTTTTATGACCTGCATTATAACAATAAAACAAAATAAATGAGTTTGTATTGATATCATTTCAGTTAATGAAACTTAGTTATAACATCTAGAAAATTAAAATCATTGCTTTATAAAAGCTTGAGAGGCCTTAAGTTGCAGCTTATACTAGCTTAAAGGATAATCTGGCGATGCCTATAGATGAAACAGTAAAAATTTCAGATGAAAATTCAGCTAATAACTGTCAGGCTATGGTTTTATTGATCCATCTTTATAATTAAAACAAAAACTTTACTCTTTTTTCTTTTTGTTATGACTGACTAGTTCAATAATTTGTTTTTCAAAGCACAAGAAACCAATAGCTGTATATAGGGTTAAATGATTTATGAAATTTAATAGATTTGATGCAGAAGATCACAAGATTTCTCTACCAAGGCTGCTTTATATGCGGCTTAAATATAGTAAGATGCTTATCTTATTACTAAAATATTATGTCAACTTTAAGAATCATCAGTACAGTTAATTATCTAATCACAAATATTTTAAATACAGAAAATGCTTTCAATTGAATAAAACTGGAATTTATCAAAATTACAACATGAATTTTTAATTGTTCATTCTGATACAGATCATTGATTATTTATTCTATATTTATGATTTTACTCATCAAGTCAGTTCAAAACAAAGTTACAAGTTTTGAATTTCTACAGAAAAGAGTGGGATTATGAAACCTCCAATTGCTTATCTGCACTGAAGCCAGAAGAGTTTAGGAACATAAACAAGGGATTTGAATTTCACAACACCATGATGCAATAATTAAGAAACAAGTCTCCCAGGCAAGTGATTACTGCAGTGAATCTCTAGTCTTCACTAGGTGCCCCACACTTGTGGCCTTTTACCACACTAATCTTACTGAATATCAACATTCAGCCAAAATGTCAAATTCATATTGTATAATTTTTTAAATGAGAATTTGAATATGTGTGTGTTTTTATTGAGTTGTTTGGTCATGCTATGTCAGATTTTGATGTGCAAGTCAATGCTTTCACAATAAAATTGAAACCAATGAAAATTTCAGGATATATTTACAATGTGAATTTCAGCTTATAATATCTGTTTTTATTAGAAATATTTACGATAACTTATTTGGTAGCCTTAAACTTTATTATGTAACTCAAGGGTTGTATATCGTAGGATAAATAAATATATCTAATTGTATAGTTATTGATATATATATCTGCAATTAAACAAATAAATAAGATTGCAATCAGGATACAAAGAGAAACAAAATATAAAGTCATTCAGTGATGGAAAGATCATATTGAAAATTGCAAAAAGTTGAACAGAAATCATAAAGCATCCAAAATAGAAATTGAAAAAATTAGCAAGATCAGAAGAAGGGAAAAGTTAAAGATAGTTGAGAAAAATTAATAAGGTAATCAGCAAGAAAATATTTAAAGAAGCTGACATTATGAATGTAAACAAAAATAAGAGATGCAGAATACAAAAGAACATTGACTAAAGACATGAAAGCAATCAAACCTTAACGGTTAAGTAAAAAACAAATCAGATGTGTTAGTTGAGAAAAATGTTTAGTAATGAATATAGAGCTACATTGGATAAACCTGATGATTGGGAAAAGGTTTTGGTCCTTCATGAAAATAGTTAACCAACACATCTTAGAGGACAAATGCTGGGTGGATAGAGAAATGTTTCTGACTACTCTTGTAGGTAGTAAAATAATTCTTAAATGTGCCATGTCTCTTCAAGATGTAAGTGATCAGGATTCTCTACAATTTACTGTTCTCTGCAAAATTTATCAATGTTTGTCTTTTTACTATATCTTGTTCTACCAACCATTTACACAAGCTCATTAGGTAAGTTATTCACTGTTTTCTTCTGTCCCTCTTGCCTTCAATAGGTTCTGTGAGTGTCAAATTCTTTAAGCCCTCTTTCCTCATTATGTGGCCAAGAAATTTCAACTCTCTTTCTGATTCTAAGTACAAGTGTCCTTTTTGTTTCCACTTTCTCTAAAACTTTGTCATTGCTCACATGTTCAGTGCAAGGTATTTCCTGCATCCTGTAGACCCACATATCAGCTTAAGTTTGTTCTTCAGAAATGGTCCAACATTCCCTATCATATAGGAGGACTGATATTACATAACAATTCAATACTCTTTCCTTTGAATTTTTCAGGACAATGAAAGTTGTTTTTTGAAACGGATCTGTGACAATGGTGAATCTTGTCTTGAAATAACAAATTGCAATTCTAAGATGGCGATAATCAAATTAAAAAAAAATGTCATAAGCCTTCAATGCACAGATTTTACCATAAAAGTTCAAAAATGTTCTGAGGTGAGAAGCAACTCACAGAAGTGATTTTAGAAAGACATTTGTATGTAATCATTTAGAACAATGTTCAACTAATATATTTACTAGCTTTAACTTATATTCAAGAAAAAAGGCCTTTAATGAAAAAAAAAATCAATGTATTGATTTTTCTATTGATTAATTCAATCACATATATGTAAAAAAAATTATCTTTTTATCGATGCCAATTTCCAAAATACTTGAGGTATTTTAAGCTTTTGAAACAGTATTTTTTTCCAAACATTTGTCAATTTTAGAAAAATCTGTCAAGTTTATATTACATGTAAGTAGTGGAAGTAATGGATCCAATAAACAAATAGATTTTTATTTAGTTATTGCATAAAATGCAAATTCTCCCTTTGAGATCATTTCACTTTTCAAGCATTTTATCAAAACCTTATTTAACCACTGATTTTCTGTCAAGGTTACTTACAACCACTTACTGGTTCACTCATTAATATGAGTTTGCTTTGTCTCATCTTCAGGTAAATCAAATACGATTCACTAATGCCTATTTTTTGGTAATTGTTCTCTAAGCAGAACATCCCCTGTGTATTAAAAGGGATAGAATCAGTAAGCAGAGAAACATGAGTGGTAGTATGCTGAGGGAACTAAGTAATTTTTGCAACAAATTTATGTCGGGGTGCCCATGTTTAAAAAGAAAAAAAAAAAAGAAAAAAAAAGCCTTTTGCCACATTGTATCTCGTTAGAATCATATCAATATGAACATAACAAATTTAAAATTCCTCAAAGTATTTTAATATTATGAATAAATAAATTTTAACACTGATTAAAACTGTCCTAAAATCAACAATAAAATAAAAATGAGTGGTAAGAAAATTGAATATCAATTCTTTCAAAATTAATCTTACAGCCAGAAATTTTCAAGAATATAAATGAACATAAAATGCAAATAGTAGTAAATAACTGTTAAAAAACAACAAAAAAACAATATTAAGTGTAATAAAGCAGGAAATACAAAATCATTGATTTTAATTTAAAATGGAAGAAACATTTTTAGCTTGTTTTCTGCAACATTTTTATGAAATCTCTCCAAGAGCTAAACTTTTGTTTTTCCATTTTTATCACTCAAACTTTTTTAACCTTCATGTTTGTAAATTTCTATTCAATATATTTTTAAAAGCAACAGCTACATTTTTATTAAATTTATTGCACACATTTATATAGCCAAGAATCCTAATAGTTATGACACCAGAATGTTTTAAATAAAGTTGTTTTATGAGAGACAACTAAATTTAGCTACTCTGCACACTTTTACTCAAGCACTAAGTATGACAGTTAAATAATAAAAATGAGAATTTGCATACTAGTATTATTGTCGTCGTCATAACATTTCAGCCATCATATCTTCTATCCTCCTTCAGGTGTCCACTGAACACCATGAGAGCTTTTGATGATTTATAATTTATTCACTCCAGTTCAGCAGAATGATAAGTAACATTATAAGGATGAATTAAATAATAAGAAATTATCTACAGGGAAGTAAGAACAGTCTATCTTCATAGATAATAGGTTTGA